CTCCTGCCCCATCTCCACCATCATCCAGCAGTGGGGGCACATCCTGGAGCGTGGGCAGCTCCAGGAGGATGGGATGGGGGCTCCAGGGGGATCTCAGCTGCCTCAGGGTTCAGGGGTTGAGGTTTCTGAAGGACACAGGCATGAATTCACGGAGCCTTTGGATGCGCAGTCCCTGCAAATGATCTTGTTTGAAACCAGTACCTTCCCCCCTAATTTAATCATGGAATCCTGGAGTGGTTTGGGCTGGAAGAGACCTTAAAGCTCATCCAATTCCACCCCCTACCATGGGCAGGGACAGCTCCCACTGTCCCAGGCTACTCCAAGCCCTGTCCAACCTGGCTTTGGACACTGCCAGGGATCCAGGGGCAGCCACAGCTTCTCTGAGCACCCTGTACCAGGGCCTGCCCACTCTCACAGGGAAGAATTTCCTCCTAAAATCTAAATCTAAATCTAAATCTAAATCTAAATCTAAATCTAAATCTAAATCTAAATCTAACTCTCAATCTAACTCTCAATCTACTCTGTTTAATTTTAAAGCCTTTCCCTCTTGTCCCCATGCCTCTGCCAAGCCACACAAAGGTCTGGAATCTCCAGGACATCTGTGTGCTCCAGGCCTGGCAAGAGGAGGCTGAGGAGACCTCGGCTTCCTGTCCTTGGTGTCCATCCACCCATCCATCAGGGCAGGACAGGAGGTGCTGTGGGGTCAGGTGGCTCCACTCTGACCCTCCCCACATCCATTTCCAGCAGCTACTGGGTGAAACCCCACACAGGGACACACTGGGGCTCGGATGGAAAAAGGAGTGAGTGGCCGAGGGGAGCTTGGAGGAGTCACTGACCCCGAGTGGAAACTCGGCTGAAAAATGACTTTGCTCCCATCCTTCTGCTCGGAGTGTCCTTTTTTTTTTCCCTGTCTCCATTTATTTTCCTTCTGCAATCAGCTTCAAATGGCTTTGGCGTGCAGAGGAGTTCTGTGCATTTGAAGGTCAAAATCCCTGAAGTTTGTAAATCCGAGTCTTTTAAAAAGATCAGATGTGTGGAAATAGTTTACACATGCAGGGCCTGGTGGGAGCAGAGTGGGAATTCTGCTGGGAGATGAACTTGGTGATCTTGTCCTCTTTGCTCCTGGTTTTCTCTCAGGCTCCACGTGCTCCTGGCTGGGGGGGTCTGGGCAGGTCCCCCTTGGCACAGAACCCATACAAGGCACTGTCAGGGTGTTTTATCCTCTTCTCTCTCTGAAAACCCATCCCCAGGGATGCCAGGGAGCTGGAGGAGCCTGGTTTGGAGAAGCCCCCAGATCCCTCTCTGCTTAGGGAAGCTGCAGCCAGATAAAAGCTGTCCCCATGCAAGGCAAATTCTGCATCTCTGCTCTGCACATGCTGCAGCTGCTGCTGACAGAATTCTCCAGGGCGACTGCAACTCCTGGCACTGTTTAAGAATCAAACCATCACTCCGTGCCTGCTGTCCCAGGAGGGAAATCAAAGGCAGCTCTGTCGGTGCAGGACAAGGACACGGAATCCATGCAGCCCAGTGCACGTGGCCGCCGTGTCAGGGGGGCTTTGATGGGCTCGTAAAAACCAGCCCGAAATCCCGGCCTGGCCCCTGCTGCTGAGCTTGCTTTTGGGATTAAAGCCCCGGCATGGCATTCCTAAGCTGGGTTTAGGTGGAACAGCTGGGCCTGGTGTGGCTCCTGCCCCAGCCCCAGCCCCAGCACGCAGCCCTGTGCTCTGTGGGCAGCACTAAAGGAGAGCTTTTATTGGTGCAAGGTTTGATTAAAATCTTGCAAACAGGTTTCAGATGGCACTGAAAGCTGATACCGGCACAGCTAAGCCGGGCTTGTTGCTTTTGTTCCTGAAATTCTGCTCAACTCTGACCTTTAGGCATCCCACACTGGAGGAGAAGGGCTGGAGGACATTGCCAGGGCTGGGTTTGCCTCCATGGGAAGGAATTTCCCTGTACCCAGCAAAGTTCATAGAGCTGTAGGATATTCCAGGTTGGAAGGGATTCACAGGGATCACTAAATCCGATTCCTGGCCCTGCACACAGCTGGGTGAAGCCCACCATGCTCCCTGCACATAAACCACCCAGTTTTTAAATAAATACTGATTTATTTAAATAAATTCAGTACCTCCAGATGAGCAGAGGCAGAATTTAGGGTAAAAACTGTCCATCCACCCTTTCTTTCTCAAGCCACTCAGCCAAGCCTTGTCCCCAAACACATCTGCAGAGCTTCACACACACATTTGATTTTCCCTGGGTGAGTTTTTAGCTCTGGGACACCTCTGACCCAACCAAGGCTTCTGCAGGCTCAGGGCACTGGGGCTGCTTTGTCCTCAGCAGAAATTTGAACAAGTGCCTGTGACCTCGCAGGAAAAAAGCAGATGATGTTTCAGTCCTAAATCTGCCGAGCACAACACATTTTGCAGAAGCCTTGAAATGCACATTTGGGTTGATTTGGGTGTTTAAATAGAAACTGTCCTCTGGCATTTTTAAATTTTTTTTTTTTATTTGGGAACAGACTGTTTGCTTCCCTGTGACCTCTCCCTGGGAATCACTTTTAAGTCTCCCCTGTTTTGACAGGTTGTTTGTGCAGAGCTCAGCATTCACCTTCCTAAACCGAAATCTTATCCTCCTGCTACTGAAAAATTGATTTGCTGGGTTTGTGCAAAGCCAACCCCACGGATCCTGCATGACCAAACAGCGGGATCAGGGATGGGCCCTTGCTCTTGCAGAGATAAAAATACCATTTTCCACCCTGCTCTTGGTGTCTGGCCTGAGGAGCTCACCTCCATACAGGTTTTCATGGGTGATTCCGTGTTCAAATTGGGGTTAGAGCCGTTTGCTCAGTCTCACTCTGACTCATCTCCCCAGCAAAGGCAGGAGCTGCTGCTGAGGCAGGGGAGGGAGCAGATTCCTGGGTGGTCCCTGTGACCACAGAGCAGGGAGAGCAGAGCATTCAAATGTAACTTGAGGATGAAGGGAAAGGGGCACTGAGCCACTTTCTCCAGTGTTATCTCAAGAGATATCAACGGTGGCTGCTCATTTTCCGTGCCCTCTCCAGCCAAATTCAGTAAATAATGAAGTGTAATTTGCCAAACAGCCTTTGGATGTGGGATTTGCTTTCGAGGGTCCTGATCCTGCCACTGTGGAGGCAATCCTGGATTTGTGTTGTGTCCTGAGAGACTCCATGTGGAGAATTCCACCCTTCCTACCTAAGCCAAGAGTCTGCAAATCATTTCTTGAGAGCCTTGGGGACTTGGCTGGAGGACATGCAGAGGGAAGGGGGAATTTTTGGATTGGGGTGAGAAGTGGGGACACAGAAGTTGCTCTGTTTGGCTTGGCAGTGGGATTGCATTGGCAGCATCCAGAGGATGATTTAGGGATGCTTTGCAGCATTGTCACCCTCCTTCTGTGCTACAAAGCTGCATGTGGAGGTTTATCCATGGAATCACAGGATTGTTTAGGTTGGGAAAGTCTTCCAAGGTCATGGGCTCCAACCATTTCCCAGCACTGCCAGGCCACCACCAGCCCATATCCCCAAGAGCCACATCCACACGTTTTTTAAACATTTCCAGGGATGATGACTCCACCACTGCCCTGGAATTGTGTTGCCCAACCCCCAGATTCCCACTTGGGAAAAAACCCAGTGTTGGGTTGTTTGGGCTTTAAATGATGCCTGGGGAGGAGTTGAGTGGAGCAGGAATTCCAGACTGGGGCAGACTGGGAAGCAGCTGGGCTGGCTGTTCCCAGTGCTGTGTCCATCCCTGACTCTGTGTTTTATCAGGAATACACCAACACTGCGTGGAACAAGCCCTCAGCAGCATTTTGCAGGTGTAAAAGTTTATTAAATCAGCAGCTTAACGATCTTGGAGTGATGGAAAACCACTAAGTTTCCACAAGACACAGAATTCTTTGATTTTCAGTGTCTGCGTCCAGATACTCATGAGAACACCAAAGACTGCCCGTGGTGTCATTTTTCCACTGAGTTTTCATGGAAATTTTCCACCAGGCTGCAGAGCTAAACCAACCTCAGGTGGAAGATTTCCATCTCTGCTGACCAAGTGCAGTTTTTGGGATGGTGGTTGTTCACAACTTTCCTTCTCCATCAAAGATGTTTTTCAGGAATACTGAAAGTACAGAGAAAAGAGTCACCAAACCTCTGTTCAGATATTTCACCTCAAATGGTTGCTTTTATTTGTGACACTCTTTGGCTTCAAAGATTCACCTCCTTCCAAATAGATTAGAAAAAAGATTAAAAAAAGGGGAAGGATTGGGTCAGGATTGAGTCCAGGCCTGGCTCTTGGCTTGGCCCTGCTGTCCCATGGGATGGCTGGCGCTGTCCATGACTCACCCGTGCTCTGGATGTGCATGACGTAACTCCAGGCTAATGTGGGATTTTCCAGCTCTTTGTTTCCCTTCCCCCCTCAAGTGGGGATTCTGCAGCTTCTCCATCCTGTCTCAGCCTGCTGTCAGCTCGCTTTTTCATGGAGTCACAGAATCATGGAATGGTTTGGGATGGAAGGGACCTTAAAGTCCATCCTGCCTTGGGCAGAGGCACCTTCCACTGTCCCAGGTTGTTCCAACCTGGCTTTGGACCCTTCCAGGGATGGGGCAGCCACAGCTTCTCTGGGGAGCCTGTGCCAGGGGCCTCCTCACCCCCACAGGGAAGAATTTCTTAGGATAAAGAATTTTCTAGGATTCTTTAATTTTCTCCTTGCTTTTCTTGGGGCTGGGGTGACAGAGTGGTAATTCAGGGATGCTTTTCTCCCTCTTTCTTGCTCACCCTTTGCCTTCCTTGGTGCCTGGAGCTGCTGAGCCATTTCCCAGGCTCCAGACACACCTGGAATGCTGAAGCCCAGCAAGCTGATGGCTGGAAAGGCTGTGGTATCATATCCAGTAGCACATTCCAGAAGTGTAGGGACACCATGTGCACCTGGCTAGCATTCCCTGACATCCTTCCCAGTCCCGTTCCTCATGGCTGTGTTTCTCCATGCTTCTTTCAGACATGGAATGTGCAGATGTGCCTTTATTAACGCCCAGCAGCAAAGAAATGATGTCCCAGGCACTGAAGGCCACGTTCAGTGGCTTTGCCAAGGAGCAGCAGCGGCTGGGAATTCCCAAAGGTAAGACATGGCTTCCTGTGAACAGCCAGGTTCCCACAGGGGCTGTGTCCTCCTTCCAGGCTGCCCAGAATTCTCCCTGGCTGCCCTCTCCCCTGTTGGCTCTCCTCAGGTGGTATTGCCTTTTGAGTAGCACCTGAAGCTTCTTGGATGCTTCAGCTGGAAAAATGTGGGCAAGTCATCTCCACTAAACAGAGAAGCAGCAGGGACCCTTTATCAGGGCTGGTGACAGAGAGAAACCAAGAAAAATGGAGAAATGGATGGGAGAAGGGGGTCAGAGAAGTGAAGGGATTTTTAGAAATCCCCAACAGATCCAAAGCTCGTTCCTTGGATGAATGTGCCCACATTAAGGCTGACCCAGACTGGGAATGGTGTTCCTCACACCCAGCGGGCTGCCAGTGTCCATGGAGGAGGCTGTGCTAGTGCAGGGCAGCTGGAGCATGCTCTGTGTGCTGTTTTCCTGGGAAAACTGCCCGTGGATGCTCAGTGCTGATCCCTCTGCAGACCCCCAGCAGTGGACGGAGACGCACGTGCGGGACTGGGTGATGTGGGCAGTGAACGAGTTCAGCCTGAAGGAAGTGGATTTCCAGAAGTTCTGCATGAATGGAGCTGCCCTCTGTGCCCTGGGCAAGGAGTGCTTCCTGGAGCTGGCACCTGACTTTGTGGGAGATATCCTTTGGGAACATCTGGAGATCCTGCAGAAAGGTGAGTCCTGGAGGCTCCTGGCTGAACAATTCACAGCATCCTGGCCAGCCTGGGTTTGGGGCTTTCCATCGACCAGGAAGTGTTCACCTTGAGCTTTAATCCCAGGAAAAAACATCTTCCAAAGCCCAGCTTTTCAGCAGCATTCCAAATGGGCATCCCAATGGCAGTGGGCAGGCAAATCCTGGCAGTGCCTCAAAGAGGCAGAGTGTTCGTGCCAGCTGCTTGGCAGGGATCCCCAGTGGGCAGGGACCTGCCTGCCTGGAATCCATGGTGGGATTTTCCAGAGCATTTTTCTTCAGCCTATTCAGCTCCTGTTGTGAATTTTACTATTTCCTCCACTGGAACTGGGTACAGGAACACAGCCAAAATCCTACCCGAATTTCCCAGTGGTGATTGGAAGCTGCTCTGCTTTGTTCCATGTCCCAAAACCAGGTGTTTCATGTCCCCAAAACCAGCATTTCTGGGAGTAAAAGCCATCCGTGCCATTCCCTGCATGTCAGCATCCAAGGGCTTTAATTTTCAGTGACTGGGGGCACACACTTTGATTTAGGGTGTTGATTTTCTGTGTCTGGATGCACAGGAGCACTGGGATAGTTTCTAAGAAGCAGGTGAGGAGCTGAACACCTCTACCTGAGCCACAAGCAGGAGCTGAAGCACACCTGGGCTCTTTTTCTGGGCTCCTTTCTCTGCAGAGCTATTTGCTTTCCTGGAATGTCCCCTGTGCTGTCCTACTGACCCTGGTGGCAGGAAGGGGAGGGGGAGCCCAGTTATTCCTTCCAGGAAACCATTGACAAATGGATGTTAATTGCCCATTACTAATTTTACTGCTACCTGTGGTTTGCAGAAGGTAAACATGGGCTCTGGGCAGGCCAGGCTGTTTTCCTGCTCATGGGCTCTAAATTTGTCCCTTTTGTTTTGCATATTTTTCAAGGATTGCTTGGATCAACACCAAGCAGTTTAACCAAACAAAGCCAAAACTTGTGGTCAGCCCAATTTCTCCTTGCAATGAGCCATTGCTTGCACCTTCTCACAGCCCTTCTTCCTTGCTGTCCCTGCCCATGGTTGGGAATAGGTGGTCTGTCTTTTCCAACCCAATCCATCCTAGGATTCTGTAATTCTGTGATTTTTTTGGGCTGTGCCCACTGGAGAGGGTGGGATGTGCTGCAGGTACTGCCTGAGGCACCAGGGCTGGGTTTGCACCTCCTTCCTGCAGATTCCCCACACATGGAGCTGGACTCGATGCTGTAAATTTATGGCAGAGCAGGAATCATAATTCCAGACAGCACTGACACATGTGGGTGTTCAAACACTGCAGTATTGATGGTACAAAGGCCTGGGATAGGGAGGAGTTTTTCAAAGAAGCTGAAAATCTTTGTGCCTGCTGCAACTCTTCTTCTGAAAGGCTGAAAATGAATAAAGCTGAATTTCTGTATCTTCACACTGTTGGTGTTGCCCTGGGAGCCAAGAAATCTCCTTTCCCTGTTTGTTTTCACTGGTGACTTTGTCACTCCTGCACAGGCAGGGTTCTTGCTCCTCTGGTGGGCTCTGAACACATTTCCAGTGAGGTATTTGGTGAATAACAAAGAGATTTCAAGAAATAACCAGCCAGGAACTTTATGTTCCCTGTAAGTCCTGGGGCTCATCTCCAACCCTGGCCAGATCTGGGCTGTGCTGGTGCTGTACAGACTGAACAGAGCTGTCCCTGACACAGAATTGTCCCTGTCTCTGCCCTCACAGGAGGAGCTGGGGGTCTCCATGTGGGAAGAGATCCAGGTGTCTCCAGGCTCAGCCAGGGCTCCAGCTTGTCTCTCCATCTTCCCCACCATCATCTCTGGGGGTGTTGGTGCTGGGAGTGGTTCTTAGCCCCGAAATGCCTGGCTTTACCTGTGCTGCTGGCCCGGGGTCATGCTGGGCCAGGCTGTGACCCCCTGTCCCCTGAGCTGACACTGTCCCCTGTGAGCACTGTGTGACTCACGTACCACAGGCTGCTCAGGGTTTAAAAACAGCTTATGGGCACCTTTTCCCTGCATGGATTTGGGTATTTTCAGGCTTATTTTTCCATAATTCTTCCTAAAATAACCTCCTCAGTTACCAGCAGTCAGCAGTGCCCTGCACTTGACTCTGTGCACAGCCAAAGGTTCTTCCCTGCTCTGTGGTCACCCCCTGCCCCTTGGCAGGCACTGTGGAGAGAGGAACAGAGCATTTCTCATTAGTCCTCTGTGTTTGCACAACCCCTCCTTTTGTTAGGGATTATTTTCCAGCCTGCAGTCCCCAGGGGAGAGGCCCAAATTTAGGCCCCTCAAAGGCAAACGTGCATTATCTGTGCTCAGCTTCTCCAGGGGCTCAGCAGAAACAAACCCAGCCCAGAGCTGTCTGGGGGCTGTGGTTAAAGGAAAGAAAATCTCCCATCCCAGCATTCCTGCCCAGAATGCCACGCTGGAATGAGCCAGGTGTTCATGGAAAAACTGCTGAGGGCAGGGGCAGGGTGGCTTTTATTTGGCAAAGCAGATCCAGCACAGCCCAGGAGGAGCAAAGTGCTTGGGAAAAGCCACGGGGAGCAGGGAACCCATGCTTTGATGTGCTCCATGCTCTTCCCCAGTGAGTTATGCCTATGGAAAGATGAAATTTGGCATTTGGACAATATATACGTGGAGGAGTCTGTGTCAGGACAGTGAGACAAAGTGGTTTTGAACATGGAATGTTCTACATCAGATGCTGCACAGGCTGGGAATTCACCCAGATTGGGGGTTAGAGGAGCTGGGTTTGGGATGGGTTACCCACTCCCTTATACACACCTACTGCTGCTCTAAAAATAGGGCTTTTCCAGGAAAACAACTGTCCTTTGTGGGGAGTTTTTGCAGGAGCTCACACATGGAAGTGTGCTCAGCAACCCCCAGGAGAAAGAGAGGTGACAAAGCCTGAGGCAAGCAAGGAAATGATGCAGCTGGGAGCACTCCTGGAGGCCCGACTGAGAAAGCTGTTGCTGTTTGGGTTGGGTTGGTTTTGTTTAAGTTCAGCCATACCTGCAGCAGCAATTCCCCAAGGACCCCACGTGCCCCAGGTTTCTGTGGGATTTCAGCTCTGAATTCATTTCTGTTGCTCAGAACGTCCCAGTTTAACCCAGGGACGAGATTTTGGGAAGTTCAGGGCTGTCCATTGTGTCACAGCAAGTCTTGCACAGCTCCGTGTGCCTTTGGACTGGTGACATTTCCTTCCTTTGCTCTTTGCAGAAGAGGTGAAACCGTACCCAGCAAACGGAGTGAGCACCACATACCCCGAGTCCCGCTACACCTCAGACTACTTCATTAGTAAGTCTCAATTAGCAGTGTCAATTATCACCATTATCATGCCTGGAAGCACCTTTGAGCAGTTATCACAGCAGCACTGCACCATGCAGAGGGTGATGTGGTTTTTCCAAGGGTTAAGGGTTGATTTGGAAGCCTTTTTGGTACTTTTTGGTGGCTGCCTTGTATGCCAAAATCTGATTTTTTCAAGCACTGTTTGTTTGAAGCTGTAGCTCAGCAGACTTTGAAAGCAGCCTCAGCACACCTGAGTACTGGGAATTGTAAAAAGCTGTTTAAAAAGGGAGAGAATGGCGAGAGAAGGCTTAATTCTGGATTATCAGCTAGGAAAAGGATGAGTCTCCACTGCACTCCTGCACTTCCCATTGCCATTGCTTTGGAGATTTTCTTTAAGGGCCTTGGAGATCTGGGACATATTTCATAAAAGTCTAACTGATCTGAAGAGGGGAGATTTAGACGAGGTGTGAGGGAGAAATCCTTCACTGTGAGGGGGGGGAGGCCCTGCACAGGCTGCCCAGAGACGCTCTGGACTTTCCATCCCTGGAAGTGTCCCAGGCCAGGTTGGACAGGGCTTGGAGCAACCTGGGATAGTGGAAGGTGTCCCTGCCCGTGGCAGGGGTGGGATTGGATGAGCTTTAAGTTCCTTTCCAATCCAAAACATTCTGGGATTCCATAATTCTGTGGATTGGGATTCCAGCTCTGGCACTGAGGAGGGATGGCTGTTGGAAGGGACTTACCTTTCCCAATCAGCAATGAAACATTTTTGCCCTGTTGCTCCTTTGCTGAGATTCCACTCCCCAGGATTTTCCAGCTTTTTCCCTCTGGCAGCTCCCCTGGGAGGAGTTTGGGGCAGTGCACACTGAGGATGGTTGGGGGTGTCTTATTTTGCTGAATTGCTGCATTTTTTAGACGCCATCTCTGGAACCCTTACCCAAAGCAGTGCCCAAGGTGGGGGTTGGGACTGCTCTGGTTCCTTGGGGCTGGTTTTGGGCGGGGTTTGACTCGCGTTGTGCCCCCAGGTTATGGCATCGAGCACGCCCAGTGCGTGCCCCCCTCCGAGTTCTCCGAGCCCAGCTTCATCACCGAGTCCTACCAGACCCTGCACCCCATCAGCTCGGAGGAGCTGCTGTCCCTCAAGTACGAGAGCGATTATCCCTCGGTGCTGCTGCGGGAGCCGCCGCAGGACTCGCTGCAGACTGACTACTTCTCCATCAAGCAGGAGGTGGTGACACCGGACAACATGTGCATGGGCCGTGCCAGCCGAGGTAAAGCTGGGCTTAAACTTGGGCCTGGCTTGGGTTCCTGCTGTTCTCACCTTCCCTCCCATGGGAGTGGCTCTGGGGACACCAAGGCCACCAGGGAACTGCGCAGTGCTGTACTGGTTTGAAAGCAAAACCAGTAAGAGACTCCAAGTCAGAAATACAATTGAATGGGGGGGGGGG